TTTTTTTTTTTTTTTTTTTTTTTTTTTTTCCTGCTGTTGCTTCTTCATTCAGTGACCAGCTAAACTGTATGGGTGGAGTGCACGGTTCTTTGGAAAAGCCCAGCAGCTGAGCCCGTCTCTGGCGTACATACATGCGCTTTAGGTGTTGTGCGTGTGAAAGGGCATAATAAACCACTGTGTTTAGGAAGACACTTCAACAGTTCCAACAGAAATGGTTCTTGCTTACTAAAATTACAGTTGGGTAGTATCAAACCTCCTTACAGCTTCCTTAGGGACTGCGGATGATCTCTGGAAATAAATGTTTAAAAAAAAAAAAAAAAACTTGCAAAGTGCCTGCTGTCTGCCCAGGTAATGAGACAGCATTTGCACTGGTTAATTGCCAGCCTGCCTGTTTGTGGGTGGCTCGTTGGTTAAAAAAGAACCTCACATGAAAGGTTTTAGTGGAGCAGTGGAGAGCCTGACTAATCCCATCCTGATCTGTCAGCTGGGTCATGTGACAGCACTGCAGTGTGAGGAAGAAGGAAAACACATTCAGTGGAGATTGCTGAGATGCGCCTTTTATGTTGGGAATTGCTTGATTTAGAGAACGCCTGCTGGGGGAGGGGGATTATTATGAGCTGAAGTAAATGTTTAGCAGATTGACAGATACCCCACTGTTATATAACCCTTGACACTACATTTCTTCCTAAGAATTACAGACTCACTTTTATTACTTGCATGTATATGCTTTGCTTTGGGCAGAAGAGATACACGCATTAGTATTGCCAATAGAAAAAGGGCTTAAAGGTACAATAGTTCTCCTATAATTCATCACTTAGTGTCAGAGCAGAGTATCAGCTGATGAGTAACATTGTTTTAAAGAGTAGTGAAGGTTGTATCTAAATCATTTCAGTAGATGACTGCAATTCCTTCATATTTTATGTGTGCTTTAGCTAAGTGGCTGAAGAACCTTAGCCATTGTATTTTGTCAGATACAGTTCCTTCAGACAAAACTGTTGGAGCATGATGCCTAAAAGAGAGTCCTGGAGATCAGGGATCCTCTTTGTATCTCCAGCACCTCATACAGTGCCTGACAGGGAGATGTGTAGCTTGTATTCAAACCCCTTGTACTAATAGACAGATACGTACATACATGCATAGAATTTTTTTTTTTTTGAAAAAGGGTCTTATGTAGTCACAGGTGGCCTTCAACTCACCTTCATGTGGGCCTTGAACCCTCTGCAGATTCTAGCCGCAGCCTCCTAAGTGCTGGGATTACAGGCACGAGTCACCATGCCCTGAAAAGTGGGTAGATTTTCAATATGGATCCGATTAATGGTGAATTAGAATACCAGATTGAATTGTGCATTATTCTAAAAAGCATAAGTAATTGATACATAGGCTAAAAACTAATTGCATTTTTTTTTCTTTTTTTTCTTTTTTTTTTTTTTGCAGAACTGGGGATTGAACTCAGGCCCTGGCACTTGCCAGGGAAGCCTATATTCCACTGAGCCATCTCCCCGGCCCCCAAAAAGTTTTGTTTTTTTTTCAGAACCGGGGATGGAACTCAGGCCCTTGCGCTTGCCAAGGAAGCACTTATTCCACTGAGCCATCTCCCTGGCCCTGGAAAGCAGATACTGACACACTGCAGCTCACCAGACAGAAAGCTTCTTGTCTACAGCCAATCAGCCTCCATTCTCAAGGCTGATCCCTCACTAGCAAGAGTGCAAGCCCTCTAGCCCCTGGCTCTGGACCAGTAGCAATAGTGGCATCCATATGATGTCATTACAAGATGTTGCTCTTGGGAGAGGACCTGGCACAGAGTACATACTGACAATTAGGAGTGATGCTAC